AAAACAATTGCATACCCTCTGCAAATCATCATCCTCAATCACGACGTCATCAGTAACAATCAAGAAGCGGAGATGGAGAAGCAGGCGCTCTCGGGTCTAAATCGATGTGGCCCAGTCCTCTTCTTAAACCCCTACTTCAAATCCATGTTCAATCAACGTCGCCTACTCCCACCCCTTCTGCCACGCCGTCTAGATCTGCTTTCCAAGATGAAGAACTCGTCCGAGGGTTTCGATCCGGTGAGATTGCAGTGCAGGCTCCATAGTCGGCAAGAAACAGGGGCATATCCGGCGGAGGAAGTGGAAGCGAATTTTGGCTATGGCAATCTTGTCTTTTGGCTACGACGGTGGTGAGAAACATGGGCATTTCAGAATAGAGAGGTCGAAGACTGGACTTCAGAGCTGGGGTTCTCCAACTGGAGTCCTTGACCGAAACATGGGCGATAGATTCAGGGGCGAAGATAGGATCGACTTTTACTGCTGATTTCGTCTTTGGCAGGGGCAATGAATCGACGACGACGACGGTGTAGAGGACGCTGGAAGCAGCCAGATTCTTGTCGCAAGAAGAAGAGAGATTAAATGAGATTTTGCATTATAAAATATAGATTTTTTAATTTTAAAATGTGAAGTGGCGGCCATGTGGTATGGCGAGTCTATGTGGACATGATGTGTTGTCTAGGTGGCAGCCACATCAACCTAACTTCTATATAACTGACGGAATCGTTAACAGTGTTAAAGTATTTGACGAAAATGGCTATTTTTTTCAAACGAGTTTTAAAAATGTGGCTATATCTGGTATTTTCTCAAAAGTGGCTATTATTGTCACAAACGCAAAATTTTTGACTATACAAGTGTATTTTGCCTTAAAAGAACCGGTCCCATAAAATTTGCACAAAGATCTGACAAATAATACTAATGTAAAAAGTCGATATTGCTTCTAAATATTTAATATTGCAATCTTATATGCTATATTCAAATCAATGATATTTGGGCTGCAATTTTAGAGTTATCATATATTTATAAGATAGATAGAAATTTAAATTAAGTAGTAAACTACAATTAGAATACTCAAAATATGAAAATTGAAGTATCAAAACACCAAAAAAAAAACTTACCAGAGATTCAGTGGCTAGCTAATTCTTGAAAAGGTCATATTATTTTCAGATTTTAGATTCGTATATGTTTATAATTTAAAAAGATACGACAAATATACTTAGTGTGATTGGTTATAAATCTTACTTTTCTTTAAAGTGATCATGGTTCAAATCCAAATACTTGTCTTTTTTATGAATAAAAAAAAAAGTAATTGTGAAAACCAAAATACACTTCATACTTTCACTCTCGTTGCAGGAACTTTGAAATGGAACAACAATTTTCCTCATTCTGCTACTATATTATGTGTATGTTACGTGCCCTTTTCGGATAATAGAATTTAGGGAGAAGGATTGGAATAGGAAGAAGAAGAATGATGAAATGATAGGCTTTTCGAGGAAAGCCTATCAAAGTATTAAACGAAAGACGAAAAACACAAAAAGTTCTTTAACGTGGTATCGTCAGGATGACACTATTCCATGGAGAGGATCTCCCTCTCAGGTTTTAAGATTATTGTCGGCTTAATGCCTTGGTCTCAACAAGTTACAATATTTATAGGGTATGGGAACCCCTATCTATCTGTGTCCTTGCAGAATACGGCTACAGTAATAATATAATTAACACCTTCACTCAAATTGATGTTGGGTACGCAACATCAATTTGGAAGAGAGATACCAATGTCTACTCGAGCACAAAGCTTTGGTTAACAAATCAGCTGTCTGATCCTCCGTTTGTAAATAAACGAGCTGTACAACTCCTTCTGCCACCAACTGCCGTATATAATGAACATGAACTTCTATATGCTTTGTTCTCTCATGTAAGACTGGATTAATAGCTATCTGCAGAGCACTCGTGTTATCTCCATAAATGTGCATGGGTAGGCGACACTCTACCCCTAGCTCTGCGACAACACGTAACCATACAAATTCTGACCCAACTTCAGACATCAATCGATACTTTGCCTCAGTTGACAATTTTGATACTTTATCTTGCTTCCAACACCTCCACAAGACAAAAGATTTTCCAAACGAATGCACCACCCAGACGTTGATCGTCTCGTGTCAACAGACCCAACATAATATGCATCAGCAAAGGCCTCGAATGCGGGTTCACCTTTTGCAGGAAAAAACATGGCGACATCTTCCGTATTCTTTAGATATCAAAGCAATCTATGTATCGAATCCAGATGTGGAACTCGAGCAACACCAAGAAACTGGCTTAGGACTTGAACGACATAAGAAATATAAGGTCCTGTATGAGTAAGATATATTAAGCTCCCAACTATGCCGCGGTACTTCGTCTGGTCTTCCAGTAAGTCTTCACCCTCACGACTTAGCTTTATATTTTTCTCCATAGGTGTAGCACTGGGTTTACACTCTCTGAATTGCGAAGAAGCCAGAAGATCCACAACATATTTATTTTGGCACACGAACAAGCCATTTGAAGACCGCCAAACTTCAAGCCCTAAGAAATACAAAACATCACCCAAATCTTTAAGCTGAAAGGCCTTATGTAACGACGCTTTGAGTTCCTGTATGCCATCAAGATCACTACCACTTATGACCATATCATCAACATAAAGTAGTAAAACAATGATCCCATTAATGTATGTCAAATGAAGAGAGAAGGGTCATTGTCACTTAGCAGAAAACCAGCCTGAATTATAGTCTCATGAAATTTTTCAAACCAAGCTCGTGGAGCTTGTTTTAGACCATTTAACGATCGCCGAAGCTTACACACCACGTTTGGTCCTCCCTTCATATAACCTGCTGGGCACTCTATATAAATATCTTCTTTAAGATCACCATGTAAGAAGGCATTTTTAACATCTAGCTGAATAAGTGGCCAATTCCTCATTGCAGCGATAGCAAAGACAATACGTACTGGTTGCATTTTAACCCCTGGCGCAAAGGTTTCCTCATAATTGATACCAAACTCCTGACGAAAACCCTATGCAACGAGACGCGCTTTAAAGCGCTCAAGTACTGAACCATTGGGGTTCATCTTAATTGTATAAACCCAACTATTACCAATGACTGACATTTCAGGTGTCCTTGGTACGATATCCAAGGTATGATTCGCATCAAGGGCACCCATTTATTCCTGCATAGCATTATCCCAATTGGGATCTCCTTTCGCCTCATGGTAATTAGCTAGAATAGGAATTGGTTTCGAATAAAAACCCACATAATCATTATACCTCGGAGGTGGATGGCCGAGATTAGCACGATTTGACTGTCGAACTATGGGAATATATTCCACTTCAGGTGAATGGAGTGAAGAGTTGCTCGAAGATGCTGGTGAGGAGTGACCAAATGATTCCGAAGAAGAGGTACCAGGGGACGGTCTAGAAGAAGATGGTCCAGAAGGCGAAGAGGAATTCCTGGACGTACTAGATGTAGAAGTCATCACGCCAGAAGAAGGAGATGAATGGCTCGATGGTGTTCCTAGTGGAGTATGAAGCAAATCCATGTCATTATTATTCCCTCCCCGATCTTTTGCCGCGGGAGGAGTAACATCAAAATCCAAAGGAGTTAAGAATTGAAGAGCTGCGACAGTCTCCTCTTTAGACGTATGAGAATAAAACATGACTTACTCAAGAAATACTACATGATATGCAACACGTATCCTTTGAGAATCCGGATCGTAACAAAGATATCCTTTGTGCGTTCGCTATACCCCACGAAGGCACATTTGGCAGTCTTGGGCTGTAATTTATTGCGTTCTTTCTTAGGAAGTAGAACGAAACAAACACAACCAAAGACTCTTAGAAAATCATAGTTTGGAACTTGCCCGAATAATGCTTGATAAGGTTACTTATTATCCAATACCGAAGTGATTTGCCGATTGATGAGGTACACAACTGTGTGTACTACCTCGGCCGAGAAGAGAGTCGACATGGACGAATGACGTGCAGACAACCAGGGATCTTTGCTAGAGTGCGCTGAGCTTGGATTTGAGCCCTTCAGAAACTTTAAGTTCGGGTTCCACATTGTAAGATCCCGTGACTAGGTCATGTTCACCTATTGGTGTCCATGACATCACCGCTTTAGACGAATCTAAGTTTGGACCCGAGACTGCATTAGCGTAGGAGGTGGGTGTCGGCCTTGGAATCCCTCCCTCCGGATTCTGTGTTACCAGAGTATCCACCGCCATTGAGTCCGAAATAGTCGACATCGAAGATCCTGGTTTTATAAGAAGCATCGACGATGGTGATGGGTCTGGCGGCCCGTCGGATGGGTTGAGGAGGGTCGTCGGAGACAATTGTTCACCGCTCATACTCGGAGAGAATCTTGATACTGATTTCTAATATCAAAGGTAGTTAAATCAGTGATGGAGATAAGGACACTATTGAGAAAAAGAAAGATATTATTGATGGTGGATATAGAAATATCTGTGATGGGAGGAAAGAGGGAATGATTAAAATATTTATTATTTATATGAGGTGAAATTCTTGCATCGTGAAAAGATGTTTCATTTTTTCAATCATTTTACAATTAAAATTGGTTTCAGTGAAATGCAGGAGAAGAAGAAAGAGACTATTGATGGAGAAGATGTTTTTGATGACGGAGCAATAAAAAGAAATCTAAAAGAAAAATTGCAGTAACTTATAATAATAAAGAGTAAATTGAAGTGCATTTTGAATGTTAAGTTTTTTAGGAATCCAAAAGAGAAAATTGCATGAGTTGTGTTGTTTACTTTTGATAATGACTTTTGTTCATGAATTATCAAAATGTTGTACTTGTACAACTTAAAATGTACGTTATTTTTTATATTTTTAATAATTAAATATTATATTTTTAGTAATTAAATAATTCGTAAAATTAGTTTAATGTAAAAACAAACAAAATAAGAATAATGCTGGTGGACTTGCAACGACCTGAAGGGCCGATGAAAACTAAAAACGGGACGGGAGACGATTTGGCCTCAGAATAATCGCCACCACTCTCTCCCTCCCTCCCGTCCTCCGGAAGAAACACAAACTTAGTTCAACTGTCCACCAGCTAATAACTAGAAAGCACGCATTTATATCGCAGCAGCCTCGGCGTCTCCGCCTCCTGCCCTCCTCTAGTTCTCCACAATTTTGCAGCCCCATTGCTACATTCCCCCTTTTATTAATAAGTTCCCTCAGGCAATCCCTCCCTTCATTCCCTCTCCTTCTGTCTCTGCCTCCCCTCTGCATTTTCTTCTCTTCGTTCCCAATCCGCTGCCAGTGAAGTTCCCGGAAATGGCGACTGTTTTCCAGGGACTGGGAGCAACTGCAGCAATTACTGCCGCCGCCAATCCCCTCGATTCCAACAAGTTCCTTCTCTCCTCGAGGAGATCCTTCTCAGGTTTGGCTCCTGCCCTTTTCATCCTCCTGCGTAATTTTGCGCCTGTCCACTTGTTTGCGACCCGAAGCTGATTTACTTTGTGATTGCAATTATTGAATCACTATTCCTAGCCGTGGTTTGATCCCTAGAGTGATTGGAATATGGATTCACTATTCCTTTGGGGTTTGCTTAAACCTTGAAGTTCATTGTGTCAAATCAGCGCTGCGATTGAAGGATTTGGCAGCTTATCTGTGTCTTTAACACTGGCCATTGATGAACCTATTTTTACCCTTTTCAGCCTTGCTTTGTTTTCTGGTAGTTTTTTGTATTCATCTTTGTTCTCAGTGGATTCTCCGCCCATTGGCGCTAGTGAAGAAGTCTGATTCCTTGCCCTGCATTTGTTTATCCGTCTGTCGTTGTGGAAAAGAACATAACTTTTGTAGGTTTAGCCGATAATCAACATCATGGTTGGCTTATTTCCTAACTTGGCGAGGGTGGTTTGTTTGATTCAGGCAAGAAAACAAGCTTGGTCGTGGTCAGATCTGATGGTAGTCTGAACTTGAACACGGGCTCCAGTGCTGGAGCTCGAAGGCTTGACAAATTAGTTACCAATGCTGTTGCTGTAAGTGCTTCCCTCCTTTCAACCAGTTCTACCAGTCTGGCAGTCTTGATATATGAGCATTTTGTAGGAGTAGGTTAAGTGGGCTGACCTTAAATTTTCGTGCTTTGTTTTCTGATTTTTCCAGACTAAGGCCGATGCTGCTGCAGCAGCATCTGCATCTAAACCCGGGTATGCTTCTACTTATGAAAGTACAACTGTGAATAATTTCAACCACTTGTAGCTGTTTGATCGTATCGTTTGTTACCTTGGGGCAATTGTTTTGGTACTAGAACAGCAAACTGCAGAGAGTTTTATGCTAGAAAACCAAATTGCATCATATCAGTTGTATCATTTCTGCCCCCGCCCAATAACCATTTAAGTTGCATGCTTCAATGTGATGTTGTAGAAACTAGAAAGTAGAAACATTGGCTAACAGATGAAAGTATGGTGGTACTACCTTTAGAGAGATTGTTGGTCACTTATATAACTTTTTCCTGGCAACAAATATAGCCTTTACAATACCCCCTTCCATGAAGCTTACAAAATCCAGAGGCTTGTGTCGTGTGCATGCAATATCTGCATAAAGAAATTACGCATGCTCGAATCTATTGGTATATTGTGTTTTATGAAGAAATGTCACAGAAACACATTCACCAGTAGTCGGTTGTCAAGCCACTTGATTTTGCCGGTTGTGCCTTTTTAAAAAATTTCAAAATGTCTTATCGAAATAGATGGCTAACAATATATGAAACCTAAAACAAATGCTTGCCAAAAAAATTTCATGCCATAGACTTACAATGAGTTCGCTGAGGTGCACTTCCACTAACATTTTGAAGCTGATACATACTGCAGTATATGCTTTCACTTGCCATGTCTATTATGGAATCTGCTTTAATGTCCCTTATGCTCTTTAAGTTTGCAAAGTCTTCTCGTGAATTGCTTATCTCAATCTTTCTATAACCAGACATGAACTTCTGCTTTATGAGGCCCTACGAGAAGGGCTAGAAGAAGAAATGGACAGAGATAATCGGGTTTGTGTCATGGGGGAAGATGTGGGTCACTATGGAGGTTCCTACAAGGTGACCAGAGGGCTAGCTGACAAGTTTGGGGATCTCAGGGTTCTCGACACTCCAATTGCTGAAAATGCCTTCACCGGTATGGGGATTGGAGCTGCTATGACTGGATTACGCCCAATTGTGGAAGGGATGAATATGGGATTTCTCCTTCTAGCTTTCAACCAGATCTCAAACAACTGTGGCATGCTCCACTACACCTCAGGTGGCCAGTTCACCATCCCAATCGTCATCCGTGGGCCCGGTGGTGTTGGACGCCAGCTTGGTGCTGAGCACTCGCAGCGTCTTGAATCGTATTTCCAGTCCATCCCTGGAATCCAGATGGTTGCATGCTCCACTCCTTACAATGCAAAGGGCTTGATGAAAGCTGCAATCCGAAGTGAGAACCCAGTGATCCTTTTCGAGCACGTGCTGCTTTACAACCTCAAGGAAAGAATCCCGGATGAAGAGTACATCTGCAATCTGGAGGAAGCTGAGATGGTTAGGCCAGGGGAACATATCACCATCTTGACTTACTCTCGAATGAGATATCACGTGATGCAGGCTGCCAAGACTTTGGTGAACAAGGGATACGACCCTGAAGTGATTGACATCAGGTCCTTGAAACCTTTCGATCTTCACACGATTGGGAACTCGGTGAAGAAGACGCATCGGGTGCTGATAGTGGAGGAATGCATGAGGACAGGAGGGATTGGTGCTAGCTTGACTGCAGCAATCAACGAGAACTTCATCGACTATTTGGATGCCCCAATCGTGTGCTTATCTTCACAGGATGTGCCGACACCTTATGCTGGGACACTGGAGGAATTCACAATTGTGCAGCCTGCCCAGATTGTGACGGCAGTTGAGCAGCTATGCCAGTAACATTGGCCCTAGCCGTTACACCAGCCAGCCGTTGTTGTGGTAGAGTTCTTAAGCAAGGGGGTAAAAGTTTCTCACTGTTGTTTTGGGTTTGTATTAATGGGTTTAGTTTTTACAGCTTGTTTAGCTAATTTGTGGCTATTGAGACTTGCAGCTGTCTTTGCTTCCTGTAGACTTGCATGTTTCTGGTGTTTCTTTGCCTAAAACTGTTGCTTGGCGATCTTTTTCTACTGTTTAAATTCATCAAAACATTTATACTTCTGTTGAACGCCAAGCACATAGAAATAAGACAGTCCAATTTTTTATGGGTGGGATCAATGTGTTTCAGGTTGTATAATCACGGGTCGGGTGTACTTTTTTCAAAATCATACTACAAACTCATACCCGGTGTTGATCCTGGTGATCTTATGCGACGCTGGGCCGCTCCATTTTTTCGGTGCGAGCCCATCTACTTTGAGTTTGGGTTTTTATAGTCCCTTACAACGGCCCAAAGTTTGAGAGCATTGGGAAATTGGAATAATTTGGGCCGAGGTTTGGGGTTAGTGGATGAAGTAGTATTTGCAATGTGACAAAGTAGTATTTGATTGATCACAATCAATCCTGATCACGATCTCTAGCAAGATAGAAGATCGGTCTAGATCAAAGCTAGCTAACCTAGAGAAAAACACCAAATCCAATTGTATATGCAGAACCCAGTTCCCTAGGCGAAGCTTAATTTGCAGCAGCTCGGCCTTGCATTATTATATATATATTTTATATTTTATATAAGATAATCATTCATTAATTCTGAAAAATAGATCGTTACATCATGGAATCCAGTCAGATCTGGAAATTAAAGGAACGACTCATAGTCGGATACAATGAAAGGGTCTTTCTAGCTACAGAATGAGCTACCCTATTACTACACCGACCTACAAATCGAATACTAAACCCAGGATGGGTGGTAAAGTAATGCACTATCTCCTCAAGAACAACACCCATCTGACTATTGTTGGTGTCTCTCTGATTGATTTTATCAATGACCACTTTCGCATCACCTTCAAAACCGACGTCCGTGAAGCCATGCTCCAAACACCATACAATAGCCTCCCGGAGGCCAAGTAGTTCCACCACCATAGGATCATCAATTAATTGAAATTAGACCCCCTTAGCAATGAGGACCTCCCTCTCAGGATTAAGAAGAATCATTCCACCTGCCGAATGAGACACACTCCTAGTGGCCCTATCCCACATACAAACAACCATCGAGACTCCAATTGTATCTCGTTGTTGAGGCTCAGTTAGAGGAAATCGCGGCGCACGACTTATCGGCAAATTCACTCATTCCTCATATTGCTGAATAAACTGGCGCATCAACACAGGGATCCCAAACTGTTTGCCTTCAAAGAAAACCCAGTTAAGAAATTGCCAGATCGTCCAGAGGATGGCAACAACCGCCATAAACAACGTTGGTTGATTAGTCAAGGCCAAAAGCCTCTTAATGAAAAGCGGAAAGGTATGACGGGGCAACCCTTCCCCCATATTGTCCAGGCCCGAGTAGTTCTAGAGGGCACGCGCAACCGGGCAATAGAGAAACAGGTGTTCCAGAGACTCAGAACCATCCCAGCAAACCGAACACCGGGCTTGCATTATTATATATTAAACTGAAGGTGAATGGTGAGTTTGTGGCGGAGAGTGCCTCTGAAGGGATCGCAATCAAACCCATGCCTACGGGTATCCGAACGTCCTTGACCCAGCCAACGTGTGGAATCCCTGCATTGACCAGGTATGGGGCGGGTATGGTTAAAACCCGTAAAAAGTTTAATGGGTATGGGGCAGGTATGGTTTAGCCTCCCCCGCCGCATACTCATACCCATACCCGCCCCACCAAAAATATTTCTTCATATATGAAAAATATGTGAATCAATTTGTAACTTATCAATAATAATGAATACAACTCAAGAAAAATATATAGTAGAAATGCAATTGAGTGGCCACCCAAATCAAAATCTAATTTCTTTCTCTCAATTTTCCCTTCACTCTTTCACTTTTCCCCCTTGCTATGAAGATTATTTTAGATAATTATTACTTAATAGATGTATCTGTTGACACTTAAAATTAATTCGACCAGAATTAAATGCCGCATTAATTAGTCTCGGCATTTAATTCGATACCGCGGGTTAAAAATGATGTCGTTTGGAGTTAAGCGGTGTCGCGAAGAGTTAAAACAGTACCGCAAGAAAGCTCGGCGGTACCGTGGCATGGGAAACGACACCGCTTAATGAAAAAAAAAGGGTTGCGCGCGTGTAGTTGGGTTGGAGAAGGGAGTTTTATAATTAATTATCACCTTTATTCCTTGTAGGAAGGGGAAAATCGGTACCGCATGGAGAATTAAAACGGTACCGCAAGGAAGCTCAGCGGTACCGCGGTACCGGTCACCAAAAAACAAAAGAGGGGCCGCGCGGTAGTTGAGTGTTGGGGAATGAGTTTTGCTTACTCTAATTAATTAATATTATTTTTTAATCCTTGTTGGATAGGGAGAAGCGGCACCGCGGAGAGCTAAAACGGTGCCGCGGAATTAAAAACGGTACCGCGATAAGCCTAACGGTACCGTGGATTAGCAAACGACAGTGTCTAAAATAACAAACAATGTCGCAAAAAGGAAAAAAACAATCGGAGCTGTGGTGGCGCTAGCGATGTCGTTGGCCATAGCTAGTGATGGCCGGATTAATTAATTAATGTTTTAATGACTTTTTAGCACGGTGTCGTTTAGTTGAAAGCGATGGGTAAGAGGAAGAAACGACACCGCGGGACAAGTAAACGGTGTTGTTTAACCAAGAACGACGCCGGGGTGAGAGTTTGACGGCGAGTTAATAATGAGGGCTGGTTTAATTAATTAGTAGTTTATGATTATTTTAGACGGCGTCGTTTAATGAAAAGCGATGCCGCGGAAAAGTAAAATGACACCGCGGTAGTGGTAAGAGTTCGGCCAAAGGCAGCCGCCAAACCCAACGACGGCGCAAGAGTATAGAACGACGTTGTTTGATGGACTAACAATGTCGTTGGTTAAACCGGGTCGGGGCAGTTGAGTTGGATCATAAAACGGCATCGATTGGTGAAAGGCAATGCCGTGGTATTGGTGAAACGGCATCGTTACATGGACAAGGTTGTAGGTCGTTTGGCCAAGTTTCGGCAAAGCATGAACGGTTTCGAGGGCACGTGATTATCACGCAACAAGGAGGAAGTTACCTGCACGGTTGACAGGAATGGAGAAGTGGGAGTTCACGACGGAGCGGTTGAGGAAGCAGTTCCACAGGGCGTGAAGACTACGCAAGTGATTTCAAATAAAAGCAGCGGAGCAAGGAGAGAGAAGTGACAACCAAATCAACACAGAAACACATCTGTCAAACTTTACCTTTTTTCTCTGTAACTCCTTCGCGGAGCTCTCCTTCCAGGAAGGATCTCCATAGTTGTAGTCTTAGTCGTAGTCGCGGAGCTCTCCACAGGAATCTCCATAGGAGTAGCGGTAGCGTAGATTCCTCAAAACTCAAACACCCTCGTTCGAACGTAGTTTGGAGAGGTGCGAACCGTAGTAACGGTCGTTCTTGGTTAGAAGTCAGAGGTGCATCGATCAAATCAACACCGCCCGGCGGTGGATATTTGACGGTCACATTGATTTCACCATTTAGAGGTGCATCGATCAAATCAACGGTGCCGACATTCGGCGGCGGATATTTGACGGTCGTCTCGATTTCAACAATCAGCGGTGCTTCCGATCAAACGGCACCGCAAGAGTTTCCACCGCGAAACATCAAATCAACATCGTCGGAAACGAAATCGGCACCGGCGGTGGCATTTGGTTTTCCCGAGGAAACAGTATCAGAGTAGAGAATAATCATTTGGATGACATTGTACTCTACTCTGATATGAATTAATGGATGCTTTAGGATAAGATGCTTTGAATCGTATTAAAAATGATTGTCTCTTTCTCGACTACATGATATATTAGGTGCGTTTAATGTTATAATTGAAAATCTACATATAAAATATTCGGTATGATAATGTTGGATGTATGAGGCGGATATTACCCATGGGTACCCAAAACCCATGGATATGAGGATGAGTTTGCAAAACTTTCACCGCATGGGTATGGGGCGGGTATGAGTATAGATATTTGACAATAGGAATGTGGATGGTTTAGACAAATCTGCTCCAAACCCGCTTTATTGTCATCCTTATCAGCCCCTCCAATTAGTTGACTTGTTGGATGAACCACGTTGTGAGCGAATAATTTTTTTGATTTTGATGGCACTGGAGAATGACGTGAAGTATATACAGGTAAGAAATGGTGCTGGCATTTGACGCATACACTGACGTATTAATATTGCAGATCCCTCTAGGCGGAGACCAGCTATGACTTGGCTGCCGATCGACGGGGGCAGTGTACACCACCGATCGTATAGGTAATCTAGGGCGAATCGCATGAATGGACGGGTGCGACAGTTGGGCAAATTAAAGTTGCGTGTCGAGCACAAATTATTGGTCCTGCTGATTTGAGTTGTACGAAAAAAAAAAATAATAATGTTCGGATTTTAAACCATTCGTTTACACATCTTTTGGATTGAAATTCAATCAATAAGCTTGAAATTTGTGCATGCATGTCATACCATGCGCTTCAATCAAATGTCTGTATTATATTGAAAGTCGTCAGAATTTGAACGTAGAGTAACGTACATGAAGACGCATGCATCAACTGACGTATTGCAGCTCCCTCTACACGGAGGAATTTGCTGCCGATCGGCTGGGGGGAGTTCCCACAGATTTGGCTGAAACCGGTATAGGTAATCTATGAGCGATTGACATACCGTGAAGATGCATGCGATAGGTTGACAAAGTTGTGTGTGGATATATATAGTGGTGAGTTCCAATAATGTGAATGGCGGGAAAATGTAAAATAATCATCTGGTACCATTTTTATAATCCCTTGAAATGAAATCGAGATTCTCGTTAGAATTCAAAAATGAAACATTTAGGTCAAAGGCTCTATTACTATGTCGATGGATAACTTGAATTTTCAAGAAAAATAATAGAATATATCTTATACTATTTTCTTACCGTTGAGAATATAGATTAAAATGGAGGGTTAGGTGAGTATCTAGATACCCATACATACCCAACTAAGTATGGATAAGGTTGGGTATTAATGCATATTCATTCTTACATATTATTTGTAAAACTGAAATTCAAAAGATCTAACATTTTTATGAAAACACTAAGGGAAATACATCATAAATATAAAAAAGAAGGGGACAAATTGACTAATT